GATTTTACTAGTGTTGCACACACAGACATACACATACACACACTTATATGTGTATATATGTGGGTTTGTCTGTATGTGTTTGTGCGTGTGTGTCCGCGTCCGTTTGTGTGTGCGTGTAAAAACAGGTAAGTTTTAAGCATATGCCTCGCAGGTAAACTGTTTCGGACAATCAGAAAGAGATGACTTAGACTTTGGGGGCCACATAATGAGGAAAGAAGGCCTGGAGACTTTAACACTCAGAGGATACTAGAAGAAGAAGAAGAAGAAGAAGTGGTGGGAGTGGAAGAAGAAGAAGAAGAAGAAGAAGAAGAAGAAGAAGAAGAAGAAGAAGAATGAGTAGGAGTGGAAGAAGAAGAAGAAGAAGAAGAAGAAGAAGAAGAAGAAGAAGAAGAAGAAGAAGAAGAAGAAAACGCACACTAATTTCGACAGCGCGACTATATTGCCAACCAGTGTGCTACGGCGAAATCTCCAAGCACACACACACAAACACACACACACACACATCGAACCCCCACTCCGCGTGTGTCTGTGTGAGCGTGCGCACATGAGTTTGATAAAAATCGGTGTGATTTTTTAATTATTGGTAAACAGATATCAGCGGTCTAGATACCCACTCCGAGGTTTGAATTTGACTCAGTTTAACAATAAAAAAATTAAAAAATTGGAATACGATCTAAGCACAAAGCTACAGATTAGCAGAATGAGATAGTTAAGTCTGGCACAAGGCAACACGTACACAGCGTCTAACTTGCCATGTTGATTTTCATTTTACAAGAGTCCTTGTCCCTCTCACTCCCTCTGTTTTTCTCTCTCTCTCTCACTCTATCTTATACATACGAGCATACACACATATAAACATATACGCGAACACACACACACATAAAAACATATACGCGCACACACACATATAAACATATAAGCACATACACACACATATAAACATATACGCGCGCACACACACATATAAACATATACGCACACACATATATAAACATATACGCGCACACACACGCATATAAACATATACGCGCACACATATGAACATATACGCGCACACACACACATATAAACATATACGCGCACGCACACACATAGGAACATATACGCGCACACACACACATATGAACATATACGCGCACGCACACATATAAACATATACGCACACACACGCATATAAACATATACGAGCACACACACACATATGAACATATACGCGCACACACAAACATATGAACATATACGCGCACACACACACATATATGCGCACACACACACATATGAACATATACGCTCACACACACACATATAAACATATATGCGCGCACACACACATATAAACATATACGCACACACACATATACGCACACACAGATATATAAACATATACGCGCACACACCCTTATAAACATATATGCACACACACACACACACACATATAAACATATACGCGCGCGCACACACACATATAAACACGCACTTGTTTAACATACTTGATTAAAAAAAACCATGAACAGCGTCGAACGGGGATCGAACCCTTACGGCGATATTCTGCCAGGAAAAACAATCAGTTGTAGTATGGGGGTCGGTCAAAAAGTAATGCTCGTTCCCCTTTAGTTATAACAGATTTAGTAGTAGAAAAATAGAGAAAGCATACAAACGGTTCATTTATCTAGATTCCCGCTTCGAGGTTCAAATTGGTGTCATCTGGTTTAATTTTTTTTTTTTTTTTCTTATTTAGAATCAGGTATAAATTTTAAATTACACAAAATACAGGAGAGGAAAGTTCCTCAAAAATATAAATGGTTTTCCGCGATCGGTTGCAATCCCTGGCACCCGTGTAGTTAGATAAAAAATAAATAAATAAATAAATAAAAAATGGTTACACTGTCTGTGTATTGGTAGTGATAGAAACAAAAGAGGGGGCGGTGTAGCGGAGAGGCAGTGACGGGGCGATGTGGGGGGGGGGTAGTATGGTGAACGAGCGAATCTGAGGAGGAGAGCTGAACCGGAATTGAACAGAACGACAGAAGCGGGCGCCGATGCCGAGGCGGAAGAAGAAAGAAAGAAAAGAAGAAAGAGAGAGAGAAAGAGAGAAAAGGTTTGGGAAGATACTTTGGTGTAGGTGTGTAGGGTGTGGCGGGGTTTTGATGCGTGTGGCGGTGGCGGTGGAAGGGGTTTAGCTAGAGCACCCACTCTCCTCCCTAACCACTAAGAAAGAAGCAGGCAAGAGAGAACGAAAGAGCGTGCGGGAGAAAGATAGCGATAGAGAGAGAGAGAGAGAGAAAGAAAGAGGTAGAGAGAAAAAAGAGGGAGATTATTGGCTGAGTACAGCTGCCATTTTTACTACCAATACACAAGCTTCGAAGTCTTGTTAGTATAGACCTCTTCAATATCGTTCTCGCTTCGCGTCGCTTCCCCTCCTGTCTAAGTGATAGGCAATCGGTAGAAGAAGCAACACGGGGACGAATAAAAGGTTTAGACTAACCGAGAGCCATATAGA